AGAGGACATCTCTTGCGGAGGTTGGAGGGATTTCTCCAGCAGAATCATTTTCAAGCGGAGATCCCTGTCACGTCTTGCCCTTGTTATCAAGTTGGTGCAATGTATGCATTTCTGGGAGATAAGAGTTTCTCCCAAACAGCGAATGCAGGATGTGTGGCCGTCAGAGACTGGTACTGGTTCACGACAGGAGTCACCCTTTTTAAATCCTGTGGAGTCCGGCATGACTGCAGTTAAGCCTCTCCCGCCTCTCGAGAGATAAGGGTTAATTGTAATGGTAAACTGTAGAAACTGTTCCCAAATGGGGAGTAAAGGAGAGAAAAAGTCATCTTCTTTCTTCTCTTTTTTTCTTTTTTTTTGGGGGGGAAGTAAAACCTCTCAGAGGAACTAATGAAGCTATATAACTATGTGTACACTAAGAGGAACAAAAAAGAAGTTCCTATGTAACTTATAACTTTTTTATTTTTCCCAGAAAGCATCAAGGAGAGCACTGCGGCGGAGTGCCGTCTGCAGCCGAGGATGGTTGAGAAGGAACTGAGGGACGGTGGGGGAGTGTGCGCTACAGGAGGTGCCAACAGCTGCACGAGACAACTCCTGTGCCACGCCCTTCCCCCGACCGAGTACTGCTGCAAGAAATCTCCAATCTCTGGCGCAGGGAAGCACCGACACCTAGAGTGGAGCATCCACAGGGACACACATCTCGAAGAAGGAGGAGACATTTTTCCTCTGCTTTGCTTTGTCTCAGTGCAGTAGCACCTTCTGCTACCATTTCACTGGCATCAAGCACCATGAACATAATTCCTCCTGTTATTTCATCAGTATTTGCATCAACTCCAAGTAAGGATTTACCAGAGGTTGGAAAAGACCATTTAAGTTGCAGACAAAGGCTAAAATTTCTAAAATCATTCAGCTATAATATTTCTAAATTAGCGATCATCCAGAATCAAAACCCCAGCTCCAAATATCCTTAAGTTTGGGAGTGTTTGATATCAAGATCAGTTAAAAATTTTGCTGCTTCAGACAATCTCTACTTTAAATTGGAATGCAACTCTGTTCTCTGTTTTTACAATACCTAGCACAATGGGGTCCTGAGTTAGACTCCTGAGCACTATGGCAGTATAAATAATAAATAATAATAATTCTAAAATGATTTGGCCGCAGGTCAAGGCTGTCCTTTGTAAAGTGTTTTAACCCACAAAGAAATTTCTTAACTTGATGTGTCTCATATTTATTATAGCTAATTGAGCAAAGTACAACAGGGGCTCAGACAAGCAGAGGCAAGTCATATATTTCCATCTGGTACATACTGTAGACAAGCTGCAAAACAATTGCCTCACTTCCTTTTACAGTGCACTGAGCTCAGGAAAAGGGCAATTATTTTCATGACAGCATCAGCACTTCTGCTATCCACACATTTATCAGCATCATTAAGCAGAACAGTGAACAAGCCACTTCTATGTTCCAGGTGATACATTTCCTACAAATACATATCGTATAGATATGGACCAGTCAAACAAATCAATATTCAACGCATATGTGGATCACTACCTAAGGTTTCACACTTGGCTTCTTCATTGACGAAATATCATAAATGCAACCCAGATTTCTGTCACAAGAATTACTTGATCCATTGGCTTAACCTGATAGTGCAGTATTTTCTTGGCAGTTAATGTTGTATTAGGCATAGGATTGCAGTAGGCATGGTTCACAAGGTTTACATTAGTGATGTGTGTCTATGGTGTTATATACAAATATTAACAAAATAATCATATTGATGAGGATTGGTGAATCCCAAAAGGTTCATTGTTTATCTGAGGCATAACTGACTAGTACTCATTGATTTCATCCAGATTGGACATACCAGGGGAGCAGCCTTTCTACCATATTTGGGTAAGAGATGGCCTCTAGGAACAAAACCTTCTCCTGGCCCAGCCTCCAACCAACCTCTGACCCCTTAGGGTGTCTACACAGCAATATAAGCCCAGGCTTGAGCCTGGGCTCAAGACTAACCCCACTTGCGTCCACACACCAATTGTGTTAACCTAGGGCTTGAATCTAGGGTCCCAGGACCCTGGAGGGCTGGACAGTCCGAACTCATATGCAGGTGGGACGTAGGCTCTGAGCCCTATTGCTTTCCTGTGTGCACATGGCCGCAGTTTGACTGGGGTCCTGGAAGTCCTCTGGATGTATCCCAGAGTTCCCTGGGGCAACTTCCTTAGTCCTCTCTATGCTGACAATCTGTAGTGCAGTCTACTGCACTCTATTGCAAAAGGAAGCAAAACCTCCCTGTGCACAGCAGCTCAGATCAGTGTTAACCCATTGTCTGCCAGCATGCTATCAGAGAGACTGCCAGGTTTTCAGTGGAGACTGATCAGAAGAAGTTTTTTGCAAAGAGAGCTGCTCCCTGGTCACAAGAGCACAGCCAGATTTTGGTGCATGCTGCCAGGATGCCCCTGCACACGCAGCCCCAGGGAGGGAGGAGGCGGCCCAGGAGCAAGGGCCAGAGAGTGCAGCGGGAACTAAGCGGCTGCCCTGCAGGGATGGAGAACAGCAGGGCTCCCAGCTCAGCACAGCCGGGGGAGGATGACCCCAAATTCCCCAGCAGCTCCCACTCCCTGCAGGACAGCCACCTGGCCCCTGCTCTATTCTCGCCCCTGCCCTCGGGACAGTGTATGAAGTAGTGCCTGGGCAGTGTGCACTGGCTGGGTGGCGAGTGGGAGCCAGTCCCCAAAACTCCACAGCTTACATTGCTGTGTGGACATACCCTTAAAAATCTGGGCTGCTGGGACCTGGAGTCATTGTTTGGCTCATTACAAAGGTAGAGGTCATTTGCCCAATTTTAATCTAGATCTGAATGCTGATCCCTTCTTTCCGCAGAGTTCATTCCTGTAGTTTTGGTTCGTATTCATCTCTAATTTCACTATTCCAGAAAGAAACCAGGAAAACTGCTAACGTTCAGAAGTGAAAAATTTTTCAGACCTGAGAGAAATTTAAGTTGAAGTTTTGGGTGAAGGCCCAGGTTGCTTCTTGTTCTAGTTAGGCACGGGTGAATGAGTTCTGATGAAATATTATCTAACATTGCAACTGATACAATGGTAGAATTTAAGGGTCTTTTCTTTCAATGCTAAAATAAATGATGAAACAAAAATAGGCTCTTGATTTTTTAATTTTTTTTTGCTAGCCCTAAAAATAAGAAAACAAAAAGATGGCAAGATTTTCTTTAAGACAAAAAAGACATTGATAAGAATAGGAAGAGACAATTTGAGTGAACTGACACTGAAATTGTTAAGATTTGGACTGCTAAGATCCTTTTATAGATAACTGCTACAGCTTGCACCCAATTTGCGTAGTCCAAGAGTCAAAGGTGCCCGTAATCTCCATTCATGCAACTATATATGGGGAGAAGAGATGCACCAAAAACAAGGCACGCAATCCCCACTAAATGTCCCAACCAAAAGGGCTCTGTGGAGCTGGTGTACCAGCAGTGGGTTATCTAATAGAGTGCACTATCCAGAAAAGTACACAGGAGGTTAATACAATTTAACCCCACCCCCAAAGCCCCCTCACACACATATGCAGACAGCTCAAGATGGCAACCCCAGTGTCTCAAAATACTTACAAGGCTGTAAGCCATAGAAATCAGCATATCTCAGCAGTGGCTTGTATAAAACTTTTCTAAGTTCTCTTTATCCAACGTTCTCTGTGCCTATCGCTTGGTGTTTGTGTTTGTGTGGGAACAACTGCCATTTGCTGCCTCTACTGTTGCTACGGCATTTTTCAGCCTTGGTTTTATTCCATCAGGCTTGCTTCCTTCACAGTGAGCAGCCTGTAGCTGATCTTAGAACACTGATAAGGCTGATTCCCTTGCTGCTTGACACAGCTGTAAAGGTGTCTGACAATTCTGATGAACTTTGTGTGTGACTGTGTGAAAGGGTTGTGTTGGTCCAGCACAACTTTTATTTTGGGCAGTGGTTGTCATTAACATGTCTTCATTTAGCCCACTGTGGTAACTGTTACTGTAATTATTTCCCATTCTAAGGGGTGTAACTTAAAAACCAAGTGGGCTAAATAGTGACTTTGTAAAATTCTGATTCATGAAATTAAAACGATGCCTAGATACTATGGTGTCAAGCAGAAATACAAGAAATAGTGAAAATTCATGATTATACACCTGATCCCTTAGCTTAATTTTAACTTTTAAAGTACTCATATTATATTTACTAACAAGCAAAACTCCTCAGTAAAGAATGTAGTTGTAAATCAAGTGGTGTTTTAAAAATTAAACTGTGAAGAAAAACTATGTCTTCATTGCTTTTTTAAAAGAATATGAAGGCACAAAATATCAAAAATGGCTTCTGATTTGGGTACACATTTTGAGGTACTTTATGTCTCAAGTGAACATCCAAAATTAGGGCATTTGAAATCGAAGGTCACTCCTCATAATCTGGGCTAAAATATTCTGTGGATGTGCCTCAATCTATAAATTTTTAATGAAAATACGAGGCAAAGGTTTCTGCCTCAAAAACTGCCAAGAAGGACTTTTCTTGGTGGTGAAAAATGCTTTTCATTTAGAAAGGGAAATTGGTGATTTGGTGAAATTTAAAAAATGACAACATTTGACAGAACCTGCCTTTACATCACAGTCAGGACTTGTCTACATGTATAGCGATGCAGTGGGGAGGCTGCACTGCTGTAGCGCTTTAGTGAAGATGCTACTACATGGACAGAAGAGCTTCTCCCATTGGCATAGTTAATCCACCTCTGCAAGAGGTGGTAGCTATGTTGACGGGAGGTCTTCTCCTGTCAACGTAGCACCATCTCTACCGGGAGTTAGGCTGGTATAACTAGGTTGCTTAAGGGGGTGGATTTTTCACACACCGAGCAACATAGTTATACCGACGTAAGTTTGTAGTTTAGACTTGGCCTAAGTTTTGTGAAGAATTGCTCTGTTTTCAAGTCAGAACGCTTTATAACATAAAAGTACTACTGAAGTCAGACTGTACCTGGAAACGCAAAGCACCAATGGAAATCTCAACCCACTCCTCTTCTTCAAAAGACACTGTTGCACTGATCACAATGTTGGCACGGAAGCGCTGAATTAGTTCCTCAGTTTGTAATGGCTCCTCCAGTCTGTCCCAAAGATTCACAGAGCAGAAGAAAATAAACCATACTAATTAGCCTGCATTAATTATTGACTCACTTAGACTATCCAGTTGCTGGTCTTATTCAATAAGATTTTTCTTCTACACAATTGTTAAGAACATCTTTAAAATGCAATATTATTACAGACATTATGACAAAGGGACAGGTATTTGAATACAAATTGTAGTCTGCTAGGAGGCATTTTGAGAGGTGTAAACTAGAACAAAAAGGGTAGATATAGAAGTAGGTGGTACTGCAATGATAAATATGCACACCAGGGAAGGATCACTGTAATTTAATTTCAGCATTAGCTACTATATTGAAGGGCTGTAGTACAGCATTTGTGGATCTTTTGGGTAACTGATCAAATAATTGGTTAAATCTAACTAAAGAGGAAACAGAACGAATACAGGGGGAAACTCAGAGGACATTCAGTGGCCTGTGAAAGCAACAAGACCAGTAAGAGAATGTTGTGAGAGAGAACTTATCCCTGACATTTTTTGGAATGCATCCGATTGCACCAAATGGCAGACATAAAAAAAAAAAAATCCACAGGTGAAGATTTCCACACCTCCCTACGAAGTGTTTTATTTGCCAGCGTATGGATGTGTGAGTGTGTTGCGTTTGTGTGCATGTGCAAACGTATGTATGTGAGAGAGAGAGAGTGGCAGATAGCATATAGCATAGAAATTTCACAGCGCTGGCTATAACCTGGAAATCTCACTCCTCTCTTTCATTTTTAAAGTGGAAACTTTGCTAGTGGAAAGAACAGGCCAGCCTTAGGGTTTTCAGAGAATGCTCTCTCAAGTGCTCCACCACTCCTAAGCATATGAGGGCCATTTAATTTTGTCTAAGCTCAGATGTACATGAACTACTTCAAAAGACACCACCACCTGAGACCTGAGGAGTTTTAACTGTCACCCAAAATAGAGACAGAAGCCTGGAGATACAGAGGGGTTTCTCTTTTCGAAAAATATTTTAGGAAAATATTAAAAAATATTTTAAATTGTTTTGTATTTTAATTAAAATGGTGGAAAACTGTGTAAAAAAAACTTCTACAAAAATTGTTAGCTTCAAGCAATTATCTTGGTAAAATTGATGTGTGTTTGTTTTTAAAAAATGAGCTTGTCTGGTTCAAAGTAGCATGGCTTTTCCTTTAGGAGACAAATGTGAATACTAATAAACATGTGTATGTAGATTTTCACACCAAATCACACAACCTGGCCCCAACGTTACCAAAACCTAGATGTCTTACTGTATTGCAGAGAGTCTAGGGATTAGTTGTTGGGGGGCAAAATTCTCCATAGTAATACTACAGCACATCACACACTCTTTTTAATAACTTCAGCATATGAGAGTCAATAAAAATTGACAACTGGGCTACTGATAGTTTATAAGGGAAGAAATTAGTGTGTCATAAATAAGCAATCATTTTACATAGGTTTCTTCCCTGTGTTTGGGATGGGGCATGAATGGGGGCATGGAGTGAAGGAACATTTACATTTTAAAAGTGTGGAAGTATATACACTTTGTCAGAGCCAGCTTTCGGTATGGACGGGATGTGCTATTTATTGCACATTAAGGCCCTGCACAACACAGGGTCTTGGTGCTGGACCAGAGAAAGCAATAAACCTTGTTGCTGCCAGTGTTTCCAGTTTCTGGAATTAGAAAATAATCTATCTTTTGCTTTGATAGTTGTGGCTGTCCCTAGGGGACAGTGCTCCTCCACTTAATAGCATATGCTCCTGATGATTCTTTGAGGATCACCATCTCTCTTGATCTTCTTTTGAAGCCCATACGTTTAGAAAGGAGTGGCGATATGTAGAACTGTCAGTGGAGAGGGTGTGGGGGAATTCTAACAGTGGAGAGGGATTGCACTTGTCACTGCACTAGAGGGGAAGGTTTCATTAGATGGGAGAAGGCAAACAGGAGAATTGTTATTGGGGATGCTGAAGGGATGGGGAAGGGCTGGCATTAGGGTCAGGCTGATGTACTCATCACTTGGAGGAGGGGGAAAATTTGGCATGGGACCAATAAACTAGAACAGTTATAGATATTTATTTCTAAAGAAGAAAAGTGTATTCACTGAGTTACACAGTAACTTCATTAACTCTGCTTAATGCTCCATAAAATGCAACAGATCTATGGTTCTTATTTGTTGTCCCTGTCTCATTAGAGATGGGACCATGGCATAGGAGTGGGTTGTATGTCCTGCTTAGGAAATGCTGAACAATCCAGGGAATATGGGTGTCTTACCAAGTGCATGGGGGCCATCCCAATAATTAGTGCACACTAAAGTATTTGCAACTACAAGAAATATAGTTTAGTGCCAGACAGAAGCTGGGTTTTAGGAATATTCAGATCTAGGTTTCCATTTTGGCCAATTAGAAATCCAGAGGTTGGATCCAGAATCTTAGTGAGATTCTACCTCTCTTATTACATTTATTTAATAAACAAAACTAAAAATAATTATGTGCATCTTCAAGTGCATATTTCAACCAAAAAACTTGAGTGTTAGGTCAGACAATGGCATTTTTTGTCCCTCTTCAGGGAGGGAGTCAGCAACAATAACACCAGAGAGATGGATGCCTCTGCAGGGATATGATTCTGCAGCATTTTGTTACATTCTTATTTTTAATTAAATTGCAGTTACTGTTTTAGATCTCCTCCCTAGAGCTGACTGCAAAGTGGAAGATTCATTTTTACATTGGAAAGATAAAAACAAAGAAAACTATTAAAACTGAATTGAAAACTTAAAGTGTCTATAAAGTATAACCAATTTTCATCAAATAAAACAACCCTATATGTAAAGAAACTAATTACTGTTTCCCAGGGGAAAAATAATTTTAATACAGACTTCGCAGGTATAGGTTTTTGAAAATAAATCCTGCAGTTCAGTATTTCGAAAGTTACCATCCAGTGATTTAGGAGTAGCTACAGAGTGGTGCTGCACCCTTGGGCTAAAATTCTCTTCTCAGCACCCTTATAAAGTTGCTCTGCATGGTGGAATGGGGGGGCGGAGGGAATTCTTCCAGCCTATGCTGGTCAACAAGGAAAGAGAGAGGGAGTTCCGTGCATAGGAAGCGGGAGGCTTGTTAGGAAGAAAGGCAGGGAGGTGGGAAAGGGGAGGAAATGAGAACAACGAAGTAGCGTGGGGCAGTACTGGGCAGAGGCTTGAAGTGAAAGAAGATTGAATTTGAAGTGCGACTTAGGGAGGAAAGCTAGTCCTAGTGATATACTGTAAATAACAAACCAACAATATTAGCTTTTAGCATTTAGATTCTAAGGGTCTTGTGATTGACGGAATGCTTGGTTTTTTGTTTTTATTCCCCATTTTTGTAAGAATATAGCAACATTCAATTAAGAACAAATGACAAAATAACTCTTTTGCGCTGAACATTTAGCTTTCCAGTAAAGAGACAAAGACTTTCAAAGGGTATTAAGAAATGTTATGTTTTCAGTTTAACATGTGATCCTTCAAGAGACTTATCTTGTGCAGTCTTGCATCCTAGATGAGAAATCTAATTAATATCTTGTTCCCAGCAATTGGAGTGACTTGTTGCCTGAACCTTAAAACATATTGTAAACTTAGAGTTGGTATGTTCCTAACAGATTTCTGCAGACAGATTTTTTGACAAGAAAATGGGTTGCATTTTTCTGTAGGTTACTGACAGATAGATTAGGTTCAGTCATTTAACCTGAACTTTCAGATCAGTAGCTGAGTATGATTGTGGTAAATGTTAATATAGCAGTTTGCGATTTACATTTGTAAAGGACACAATTTTAATTGCAATTCATCCATTGACTTCTGCAAACAGCTGAAATTGTTTTCAAAGGAACTTCGTTGGAAAAACACTAAAGGGGACATGAAAGTAGGTACATTACAAATATATCATATGGTTATTAACTGCCTTCTTTTCCAGGTTAAGAGTTACAGATAAATGTGATCCTAAAAGATACACTGTAGGGAGACTTTCTATTGATCTTAAAGGAACCATATGCTACTCTCAAAATAGTGCTATTTGCTGACCCAGGGTTCATAAAGGTTTTCAAGAACCTGAAATAATACTTAAAGATATTTTCAAATCAAACTTGTCTTAAAGAGTATTATTTGATCTGAGAGCAGATCATCTCCTCTGAAATATAAAATATTATTCAAAGAATTCAAGTGATTGCAGTCAGCCTTTTTCAAAAAGAGGTTATATAGTTCTGTACTTAGTCACTAAGAGGGACTAGCGTATCAATTTTTGTGTGAAAAATGTTAAGCATGAAATAAGAAAGAAGGAAAACACAGACTCCTGGTAATGACATTTTGTCAACAATTCATCATTTTCATAGATTTACAGAGGAAGAAAAAAGTGCTGAACCAAATCCTTAAGTCTTTGGCCTATATTTTCCCACTGATTTTTAGACAGAATTCCTACTTAAACTAATTAATACTCTGAGTCAGGTCTTCTGCATAAAGGGACCCTCATTATTCAGCTTTTATTCATTCCTTACTCTGGCCAAACTCTTACTGAGGTCACTGACTGCTTGATCAGAATAAGGATTCAGTAGAAACAGCTTTAGGGTTTGACCTGATGAAACCCTGTGAAAAATAAATGGTAAATTTGGAAATTATAACCGACATGTATGTGAGATCTACTGATTGGTTTTACACATATATTTAAAAAAAAAACAATAAAAAATGCATGGCTTTAACATATGTGCCAAATTCCACTGGTCAATCACATACTGATTTCTGATTAGTTTCAGCCTTCTCCCTCCAGTTGCTTTGAATGACACCTTTACATGTCTGCAAGCCGCCTAGCAGGCTGTTAGTATGTCATTAATAATAATAATATAAAAATATAGATGAGAGAAATGGCTACTGCATTTTCCTGGCCCACAGATTCTCTCTTGTCCATTATGAATAAGTATGAACCCTAATAATCCTAGAGTGGGCTCCATTAAATAATGCTGCAGTAATTTAAATTTATGGTGGATTTTCTGACATTTTCCATTCTTAGGGCCAGACTGTGCCATTAAGGCACAGTACTGAGCACTGGGGCAGTGTGAAGCTTCACCAGCAAAGGGGAGCTTTTCTCAGTGTGGCAGGCAGTTCCATTGGCTGATGTGGTGGGAAGGGATAGGACCATGCTTTGTCCTGCACTGATTCAAAGTCTGAAAAGTAAAAATCTCAAATTTCTCAACGGTAAGTTGGTATTTATTTCTTATGACAGGATTCTGGATGCCCACACCACAGACTGAGAGGGGACATGATAACAGTTTTCAAGTACATAAAAGGTTGGAGGGAGAAAATTGTTCTTCTTAAGATCTGAGGATAGGACAAGAAGCAATGGGCTTAAATTGCAGCAAGGGCGGTTTAGGTTGGACATTAGGAAAAACTTCCTAACTGTCAGCGTGGTTAAGCACTGGAATAAATTGCCTAGGGAGGTTGTGGAATCTCCATCACTGGGGATTTTAAAGAGCAGGTTGGACAAACACCTGTCAGGGATGGTCTAGATAATACTTAGTCCTGCCTTGAGAGTAGGGGACTGGACTAGATGACCTCTCGAGGTCCCTTCCACTTCTGTGATTATATGATTCTATAAAAAGGCTACCTCATCAGAGGGGGCTCTTACCTTTCAGTAATTTGCTCTTTCAGTTGTAAAATACTTGCTGTATTTATCAGGAGATATTGTGCTTCATTCACAAGAGAAAGCGAGACTGTTGTAGCCTGACCTAAAATCAATACAGCATTATAAAATGATTGTTAGAAACAATGACTATCATACTGGTAATTACCCCCACCCCTCACCCCAATGACCTTATCCGTTTTAATTAAAGAAATTATTCATTAGACTTCAGTTGCTAAGGAAAGATTCTATCCTATAAAGTTTAGAAGCATGGATCCTCTCAGACTCAGGGATGCAATGTATTTTAGAATCGAGATAAAGCTGAGAAGATATCCCCCCCCCATTTTTATGGAATAATTTTATAATTGTAATCAATATATATGGATTTTCTAAACATTCTTCTCAATTTATTCTGTTCAGGAAGGAATTTCAGCATAAGGATATTTTCAATATTAATAGATTTTTCATGTTTCTAATTGTTATAACATTTTCAGACGGAAAAGTGATGGGATAACAAAAACATAGATCTATAAAGTTTCCCTATATGCAACAAGACAGAGGAATAGCGTAGCAGAGTATGAGCATATATGTACCCTTTGCTGCCTATTGGATTTAATATCTCAAGACTTCTCCCACATCTCTTCATTGAGGGGATTTTTCACTCAGCATAAAGTATGTGAGTCATGCTAATATTTTAATATGCTGAGCTGGAGTATATATTTTCTAATAACCATGCCAAATTGATATACCTTTTTCATGTTTCTGATTTGCATTTCTTTTGAAGTCTGAACTCTGCCTGATCAGGTGACACTGGCGACCAAGTAATTCAGAGAACCATTCTGCTATTCTTTCTCCACAGTCATATGTTTGTACTCTATCAAGAGGGGAGAGAAGTGATTAGTATTAATTTAAGCAATAATCTGACTGCTAAAAACTTCATTTGCAAAACTAAGGACAGCTGGTGGAGATATTTAATCAGATATTTGCTCTGCCTGTTTCAATCCACAATGCAGCATCCATTATAACACTAATGAATGAAACAGCTGAGATGTGAAGTACTATTATGCACAAATATATTTCCCAAATTTGCGGAATTCTGTCAATCTTGACTTCATTATTGATGAGACATAATTCAGTTTTATATAACTTACGGTGGGATAGAAAGTCTGTATAATTATAAAAAATCATGGCACTGGCTCTGAGACACAGTAATCCATGTATGACAAACTAAAAATGACCCTTTTTTTCAATCACAGTACTTGCAAATACTTACAAACATATGGCTAGTAATGCTGTCCTCTCTATGGCCCCAATCCTGTCAACATTTATGTGCATGAGTAATTTTATGCAAGTATGCAGTCTGACCATGTCTATGAAACCTAGATAGATCTTTAACATGAGTAGTCCCATAATGTGTATAATGTTACTCACATACATGTATAGAGGATTGGGGCCCGGATTAGAATTTTCCAAACACCTGAACTTTTGAAAGCAACCAAGTCTATCTAGAATTATGCATCTCTTTGCCATCCCACCAGCTGTTACACAAGAGTTACAGAAACCTCATTCTTCTGATGGATCTGGACTAAATGTATTTGTCTAACAATGACATCTAATTAATCTATATCGATCAGCGTTCTCAAGTGTTTTCATAGCACAGACTACATCATAGCACTGCCCTTCCCATTCACTGTCACACAGCTTCCCTGTAGCAACAACAGCAATTGCATATATGGAAAAATAATGTTAGGACAATATTTAATCACAGTCTCTTTTAATGCAATATTATTGATGGAAATATGGAGGAAAGCGAGCACCAAGAGTGAACAGTCAGTTTTCTGTGGACCATTATGTGGAAGCTTCTGTTCTAAATGAATGTAGCACATCTTCTTCAGTGCGCTATACATATGCATTTAAAAGGGGGTCAAAACTGGGTAAAACGTTTAAGGGATAGGTTGATTAATTATCATTATTGTTGTTTGTATTAGGTAGGTGTTATAATAACACAAATAAGAAAATAAAATAATAATAGGAAGAAATTATTAGGGGAGCCTCCATTGTGTTGTAAATTGTTCAAATAAAAAGCTTCTTAATCCCAGTATTTTAGCCAAGAAAGGTGTTTTAAGGGAGTTTGAATGTTTTTGGTTTTGTAACTCAGTGGCACAATCACAGCTGCCTTTACTCCTGTCCCCTGGAGCCAGACAGTAAGAATTTTTTAAATGATCCATCAGTTACAGTGTTGCCCGCTGCCTAATTCAATCCATGTTCTTAGTACATAAACTAACAGCAATGGAAACAAGATGGTAGCTTGAAAGGTTGCTCCTATCAAATGGTTCCTTTATTACTAATTCCACGATGGTATTCTTCACGGTTGGTGGACAGATTTTCTCCTTCACCTGTAGTTCTGATAATTAATCATAGAATGGCTTCTGGATTCTCTCTCACAAGTCAAAAAGGCCATGGAGACACCCTGTTAACCATTAGTGCCCTCATGACTACGGGGAGAATTATTGGAAGGAGGATGGCAGTGTGTTTTTGGTCCTGTGGTCGGCTTGCTGTTTCTTCTATCAAGAAAGATGATTTTGAATGCAGATGATCTACTTTGTGAAATAAAAAATAGTCACCACAGCAAAAGATGCTAAATTCTGGGATTGAGCGTGGATGCAGTTTGTCTTTGTAAAAGATATGCACACTCAATTGAATTACATTGATATAATGCCAATATAAGTGAGATCAGAAGTAGGACTTCTATCTCTTTTCAGCTGATGTCTGGAATTCTGAAGAACATACTGAAAGAATTCAGAGGAACAGCCGTGTTAGTCTGTATTCGCAAAAAGAAAAGGAGTACTTGTGGCACCTTAGAGACTAACCAATTTATTTGAGCATGAGCTTTCGTGAGCTACAGCTCACTTCATCAGATGTTTACCGTGGAAACTGCAGCAGACTTTATATACACACAGAGAATATGAAACAATACCTCCTCCCACCCCACTGTCCTGCTGGTAATAGCTTATCTAAAATGATCAACAGGTGGGCCATTTCCAGCACAAATCCAGGTTTTCTCACCCTCCACCCCCCCACACAAATTCACTCTCCTGCTGGTGCTAGCCCATCCAAAGTGACAACTCTTTACATAAGCACCCGACTTTTGTGTGGGGGGGGTGGAGGGTGAGAAAACCTGGATTTGTGCTGGAAATGGCCCACCTGTTGATCATTTTAGATAAGCTATTACCAGCAGGACAGTGGGGTGGGAGGAGGTATTGTTTCATATTCTCTGTGTGTATATAAAGTCTGCTGCAGTTTCCACGGTAAACATCTGATGAAGTGAGCTGTAGCTCACGAAAGCTCATGCTCAAATAAATTGGTTAGTCTCTAAGGTGCCACAAGTACTCCTTTTCTTTATACTGAAAGAAAAGATTTTAGCCAAAACAGGTCAAAATTATTGAGCCATCAATATCAATTCTCTTCCTTGTTTTTTTACACAATTTACTTGAATCCTGATTTTACTACAACTTTCAAGCTCTGGCCTAATTATATCCCACTCCCCCACGCCCCATAATGGGGTCCTTTTGCTGTTTTCTGTACACATCAAAGTCAGATGACTGCTTTGCTATATATAGTTAAGGGTCTGTCACAGAGCTGTGAAAAAAATCTCACTATTTGTGAAAACAGTGAAAAATCAGTTCATGAGGGTGAAACATTTGTCATGTTTACTTGAATATTTCATGTTTTCTGATGTCTTAAGGCAGAGGTATGTGAAGGTCAAAATTGCCTTTCATCTTAGCACACGGCCTGTGACTCATTTCTATCTTCACAAGCACACATGGTTGTTATTTAAACCAGTAAACAGCTATGACATACGTACAGTAAATTCTTGTCATGACTTCTTTTCCTGATTCACAGTGAATGCAAGCAATTCGTTAGATTTTCAAACTCAGTTTTGAAAATGTTCTCATAAGTGCAGTAATAACTTCTGTATCCTCAACAGCCCCAGTGGCAGGGAGAAAGAGGCTAAGGCCAACACACAAGGCTGCTGCAGTATGGTGGGGTGTGGAGAGTTCGTTTACACAAATTCTTTTCCTTGCTCAAACTCCTCCTGCCCGCAGAGCAACTAAAAGCCCCCTTCCTGATCTTCTGTGCTTTATATGGTCTGTTGGGGCTTACATTCGCCTTACTACTGCATAAACATGTCTCAAAATGTGGCCCTCTTTTATTAGATAGCTAAAGTATTTTACACCACACAGTGGCTGAGATGAAAAGCTACAGCTATATTGTATTATAGTATTTAATCGAAGGTCACTGTGTAGTTTCTGTATTCTGAGTCTGCGTGCTCTCAAATTGCTTTCCCATATTGTCTAAACATTTTCAGAGTGAAGCCCATTGTCTCTTCAAGGTCCCTGTCAAAGTCCTTCTGCTGTAGTTCAATTCCATTTATTTTGTTCGTGTGTTTATTTTGCTTGAGTATTACTTTACATTTGTCAACATTACATTTCATTTGGCGCATGTCAGCCAATTTATAAAGCGGGCCCTAATTCTTCCAAATTTTACCTGCTGTGTGTCTTGTGTTCACTACTCATACCACTATTGTGTCATCAACAAATTTAGCTTCAGTACTTTACAGCTGGTCCCTCCAGATAGGTAATTTATAGACTGAAAAACAAGGACAGCCAAAGTCTGAATATTGATTCCAGTGGGATGCCACTTACATTCCCCCACAACAAGCTGAATTCACTTTGTTTTGCTTTTTAACCAGTTCTTTGTCTTTTGCTACCATTTATGCTTTCCTTGGCCTTCTTGGTTTGGACCCAGCTTGTGTAGACATACCCGTGCAAGCTCTGCTCAAGTTAGTGCACTGAAAATAACAGTGTAGCCAGGGTAGAATGGGCGGCAGCTCAGGCTAGCAGACAGAGTACATACTGTGGGGGTCTGAGCAGGTATGAGCTCAGGTGGATAGTCTGAGCTGCTGTCCATGCTACCCTGGCTATGATGTTATTTTTAGTGCACTAGTTCAAGCAGAACTAGCTCAGGTTCATCTATGCAAGCTGGGAATCACACCTCCCAGCTCAAATGTAGACATACCCAAGGAACTCCTTCTGGTGACTGTACAATAGATTTGGGCCACATGTTTTTCCCAGCTATATCAGCATAAATCCAGATTAATTCCACTGAAGTTAATTTACACTGGTATAATTGAAAGCAGAATTTGTCTAGGACAGTCTGTCCTCATGTAAAGTTTCTATTGATTTCAAGCATTTCTTCTGAGTTGGAACTATGGCCAGTCCAGTGACTTTACCCCAGACCTCCCCAGTTAGAACATAAAAATGGCCACACTGGGTCAGACCAATGGTCCATCTAGCCCAGTATCCTGTCTCCCAACAGTGGCCAATGCCAGCTTCTTCAAAGGGAATGAACAGAACAGGCAATCATTGAGTGATCCATCCCCTGTCATCCACTCCCGGCTTTGCTGCAGAAATGTGGTGCCAATCTCAATGTATGAGATACACCGGGAATAAAGTTACTAAAAGCTGAAATTATATAACAGAAACAGGAAGCCTAGTAAGACTGATATTGCAACCATGTATCCAGTTCTGGTGGATGTAGAAAAGAGCCACAAAAATGATTTGAGGAGGAAATGCCTTAAAGTGAGAAATTGAAAGAGATCAATCTGTTTAGTTTATAAAAATGTAGATTGAGTGGTGACTTTATTACAGTATGTAAGTACCTTCAGAGAGTACTAAAGGGCTCTTTAATCTAGCAGAGTAAGGCATAACAGGAACCAATGTCTGGAAGCTAAAATCAGATAAATTCAAAGGAAAAATGAAGTACACATTTTTAACAGTGGGAGTGATTAACCACAGGAACACACTACCAAGGGAAGGGGTGCATTCTCCATCTTGAAATCTACAGATCAAGACTGGATGCCTTTCTGGAAGATATGCTTTAGTCAAACACAGGTTATTTGTCTTAATACAGGGTAACTGTATGAAATGCCATGACTTGCAATATACACAGGACAGACTAGATCTACATTCCTTAAATTCTGTGACTCTGTGAATCTATGGAAGATCCCAATGAAGTCCATGGGTGCTGTTAGCATTTGGCACCTTTGAAAATCAGGCTACCTTCATTTAGCAGGTTTACTAGGTCTTTATCTGTATTTTTTTTTTCATATGGTGCATTTCATCATAACATCTGAGTGCCAACATACTTTAGTGGAATAGCATCACAACACTCATGTGCATTGAGGAAACCAAGGCACGAAGAGCTAAAGTGACTTGCCCAAAGCACAAGATGTCCAGCAGAGGTGGGACCAGAACGCAGATTTTCATTTAGAGTCCAGTGACTTTACCACATGGTCATCTTGCCTCTCTGTTAACCATTGTGAAACAGGTCTTAAGATATGGTCAATTATCATTATTTATTCTTCTTGGATTGCTCAGTAAACTGGGTGCAAATAAACACTATGCATTTTAATAAGCCTAAATGGAAAGGTATACATCTAGGAATAAAGGATGTAGGCTGTACTTCTGGGATGGGAGACGGTATCCTTGGAAGCAGTGACTCTGAAAAAGATTTGGGTCCTGGTGGATAATCAGCTAAACATGAGCTGCCAGTGCAATGCTATGGCCAAAAGGGCTAATGCACTACTTGGATGCATAAAAAGGAGAATGTTGAGGAGGAGCGGAGAGGTTATTTTACATCTGTATTTGGCACTGGTGCAACTGCTGCTAGAATACTGTGTCCAGTTCTGGTGTCCACATTGAAGAAGGGTGTTGATAAATTGGAAAGGGTACAGAGAAGAGCCATGAGAATAAATACAGGATTAGAAAACATGGCTTATAGTGACAGACTCAAAGAGCTCAATTTGTTTAGTTTAATGAAGAGAAGGTTAAGGGATGACTTGATCACAGTTTATAAATATGGAGGAGAAATTTTTGATAATATAATCTTCAAGCTATACAAATGTATAACATAATTCAATGGCTGGAAATGAAAGCTAGACAAATTCAGACTGCAAATAAGGTATACATCTTTAACAGTGAGCGTAATTAACCTCTAGAACAATTTACCAAGGGTCACAGTGGATGCTCTATCACTCACCATTTTTAAATCAAGATGGATGTTTTTCTAAAAGATCTGCTCTATGAATTATTTTGGGGAAGTTCTATGGCCTCTGTTACTCAAGAGGTCAGACTAGCTGATCACAATGGTCCCTCCTGGCCTTAGAATCTATGAGTGTCTTGGATTTCATTGCCCTCCTTATTTGTTTAATGGAGCTACTTTTTAACATACATTCTTTCTCTCTGTTATTTCCAGTATTACCCTTATTCCCTTTGGCTACCATTCACTCATTCTGCTTTTTCTGTTACCCGTATCTATTACCTGATAGCCCTAATTGACACTGTATTCTTGTTTGGTTCCTTCCCTGCTTTGCCATTTCCACTGCAGGCTTCTGTGCCCCTGAGAACTTTGAGCAGCCTCTCATGAAAATTTCCCTTTTCAGACAGTTAAAAAAAAATGCAGCCAATGACATTGAGACAGGCTATGATGGTATTACTGCGAAAGAAATGCAGAGAGAACAAGGCAATCAAGTATATTTTAAAAGCAGGGTCTACTAAAGATGGGCTAACCTCGGGAAAGATAAGGTTGAGTCAACACTAAGGGAAATTGGACAGATGGTTAGAACAAATGACTTTTGGGTGGTTTCCGCTATCCAGACATTTTTTGGGAAAAATATGCTGCCAAAGAAAAGTCCTTTTTTATTACTTTAATTTAGTGGAGGATACTTTCCAAATACAAAGAGTAGAAAAGCAAAAATGTGTGTGTATTATACATGATATAGACATACCTTACGCATTCCATTTAGACTATTCACGAAAGCAAACTTCATGACAAATTGATTAAACATAAGAGAAACTGAAGTGAATTGGCCATAAACTAACTGAGTCTAGAAACACCAGGTAAACAAACTGTGGCAAAATATCTTGTTCGCCTCAGCAGGCTCAGTCCTTTTTAGCCTTGGAGACTCAGGTTTGGGGCAAGGCGAATCCTTATAGGTGGCACAGGGTCCTGCTACTCCTGTCCTCAGTCAGACCCTTGTGCGGTTTTCCTTCCCTTCTGGGGAGCGAGTGCAGCCTCCCTACTGGGAAGGTCTGGTGTCTTGCTGCAAAAAGCCTACTGGCAGCTTCCCTGCTCCTCTCACTCCCTCACTCTCCCCCTCCTTCCACCCAGGGGAGGGTTTAAAAAGGTCCCAAGTAGTTGGAGTCAGCTGAACCTAATTGGTTCCCTAGCAACCCCTTTTCCAGTTGAACCTTATTGCCCCGGGGTTCTCTCTCCTCAGTGGATAGAGAGGGGCCTTTTAATTCCCTGGGACTAATTAATACCCCCCTTTTGTAGCTGTTTGTCCTGGGTTTACCACAAAACCAAAATGTTATACTATGACATAGGGCCAAAACCTCCCTGCTGCCGTGGGGTGTGCACTAGGGGGAAAGAGGGAGAAAAGAGCCTCTTCTCTCCTTAGCAGCAGTGGGGCAGCATTCCAATCTGGCACGCAAGAAGTTGCCAACTGGGGGACATGCTAACCACCATCATGACCCCATAGGAGGACGTTCAGGTCCAATGACAACTTATTGCTGTTTTGGGAAGCAAGTGCTAGAGGGGTAGAGAAAATAAACTTGTACCAAAGAAAATATCAGAAAAATCTTGGAATTCCTGCAGTGCTCAGGGCCTGATGGAAGGTTAGTGTGGGTCCAGTCTTTAAAGAGGGAAGTACAGTAATTGTGGTATGTACATGTATGACCTCTAGGCTGGACTTCAGAACTCTGAAAAATATCTGAAAACTTATAAAATAACTGTACCATGGACAAATTAAGAGAGGAAGCAGAGTGCAGTAAATAACTGTCGGTGAAGCACAAGTTACTCAAATCACTTTAATCAAATGGCTTCTTTGGACATATCAACAGACTTGGTGGGTAAGTGGAATGCAGTAGATAATGAACATGGATGTCAGCAAGTCATTCAGTACAGAGCTACTCAGAAAACTGATGTTGGAGAAATATTTGTTTTATGGATCATCATACCACATGATGGATAAACACTTGGCTCACAAATCGGAAACAGAGTTATTAATAATAGCAGTGTTATATCTTATTGAAAGACAATGCATCAAACGATGTACTGCAGGGAGTTGGTGCTAATGTTATTCAACATATTTACTAATAATTTTTCAAAGAAGTATAACTGAATACTGAGCAACATTGGTGCTCAAAATAAGATTAGGAGTTCTTGTAAATATGGAAAATTTATTTTAAAAATCAGCTGGGTCTAGAAAATTTGAGACAATGCAATGGGAAATGGGAAAAGTTACTAACATCAGCACAGGTGAGTAATTTAACAGAAACGGTATATGCCAAGTTGGGGCAGCCACATAGCATGTGAAAACGTACAGGACACTTGCACATTTTTCTTATTGATAGTTTTCTGATGGCAAACCAGGCAAAGATCTTTCCTAACTTATGGGCTGCAAAATCCTCTAAACCTGATTTTGATTTGTTTTATCAGACCTGCTTTGTGTGCTACATTTTCCACAGAAGTCTAATCCACTCTGCTGTTTGTTTCATTCCATCACTGAACTTTTTTTCTTCTCTTCTTGTTTTATTTTGTTTACGCGGATATCTTCTAGACTCTCACATAACCCTTGAACTTGCATTCCAATTATGGTCATCCTGAGCTGTCCCTGCAAAAGGTCATCAGCTTAGAACCTTCTAGGGTACCTGTTCTCACTCACCTGTGTGCACAAACTTTGCTCTGACCAATCTGAATCTCTCTTCCGGTGTTTTCCTCTAGAGGCACGGATATGGGGTCCATTCCTTTATGTATCAAGAACAAATTATAAGAATTAAGTATTTGGGCAGAATCATATGTTATGAAAAAAAAGTACATATTCCCTGACTGTTTAGGACCACAGCAGTCACACAAATTCTGCTCGCTTTTTGACAGAGTTATATTCTCTGCCTGCAGGTGGCTCCAAATGATAATGCAAGAACAAAGGCTTTGGATGACCTTGGTACCCAAACCACATTAACTAATATACAATTTCAGCTTTTAGTAACTTTATTCCCTGTGTATCTTTTACATGGAGATTGGCACAAAATTTCTGCAGCAATCATGGCTGTTGTTGAAAGGACAGGCTTATCATAGCTCTACTATCCCTAGTAAATCAGGATATGAGTATAGCCATTCTTAGCGCGAGAGAATGGAAATAAACACATTTTAAAAAGAGAAACATCGTGTTCAAAAATGAAATATGTTTCACAAACTACTTAGCTGTGTAAAGGGGCATACATAATCTTTGAATTTAAACAGTATGATAAAGCTCAATGGGCTGAGAGGAGGGCCATGCTATACTGATTTATGAAACAGAAAAAAACCCATACAGCACTGCTCTTTGTTAATTGAAAACAATAATCTTAAATGGCCAACAAAGCATTATACTGTCAGGCTGCAGTGAACCCTAATGCTCTCCATATACACTTCCACATAAAGCAGAAAAGACTCTGATCTCATGTACACTTGCTTTATATCAATGGACTTTGATTTCACTGAAGTTACTTCTCATTTAGGCCAGTGAAAATAAAGCGAGAATCGGATTTGTTTGATTTTATTTTGAAGAGTAAGGAAGTTTAACTCAGTTTCACCATGCCACAATTCTGTTCTACGTACACGATTTCAAAAGAGAAAGGTTTATGGTATTTGTTAACTTCAGTATCATCCCAAACTCGACTGACTGGTGGTATTGCTGTAACACAGAATGATAAAGATGATAAGAGAACAGAAGAGCTGCCATGCTGGGTCAGACCATGGTCCATCTTGCCCAGCATCCTGTTTCCCGTACCAGTGATTCAGGGGGAGTGTACAGAACAGAGCAATTAGGGGGTGATCCCCCCTCGCCTCATCTTCCACTGCAGATTTCTGGTAGTCAAAGGTTTAGGGTCACCACAAGCATGGAGTTGCGTCCTGGACAAATCTTGGTTAATAGCCATTGATGGCCCTATTCTTCATTAATGTATCTAGTTCTTTTTTGAACCCTGTTATACTTTTGGCCATCACAACATCCCATGGCAATAAGTACCACAGGTTTGTTGTGTGAAATTTAATTCCTCTTGTTAGTATTAAACCTGCTGCCTAGTAATTAAGATGGGAGAAGAAAAGCTGGACACACTTGGAAAACAAAACATGTAAGCAACAAACCAGTTTAACCCCGTTGCAATAATCCAAGTAAAAACTGACAAATATTACTATCTTGGGAGTGTAACAAACACCCTTCTATGATTATTCCGCCCACATCCCCCATGGAAAAATATCAGTGTCATTCACCTGGAAGAAAAGAAAATACGAAAGGTCTGAACTTTTTGTGTGTTTAACTGTAATCATTTACAAAAACAATTCTTAACAGAGAGCACACATGCAAGTTCCTCAGATGGGGGCTCAGGGTTTTATAGGTGATTGATTTTACACATCAGCCAGTATATCATACTCTGATTGAAACATACACATTTTACAGCCATATTTAGGTCAGTTTAACATTGTTAATTATAACTTTATTCCATCTTAAGAAAAAAAAGCTGGAAGATTGCCAGTAACTTAACTGTAAAAGCTGGCATTCTCCATGGTCATTTGCTTGATGATAAATTTCACAGATGTGTTCACAGTATTAGTAATAAAGAAAAAAACCCCTGCCTTTAAAGCTACTCTTTTGAGTCAATGGCAAAAATTAGAAGTCTGCTATTTCAACATACTGAAATATAAACTATTCATGTGCATTCTCTCTTCAGCATGTGCACGTAATTCCTATTAATGTTACTGGCAGTACACATGAGCATCGAAGGGAGAATAAAATCTATAAAGTGTAATTAGTTTCACAATTTTGCTACTATCTTTCTACTCCAATGTTTTAAAGAGATTTCACAACACTCAAAATTCTTGCTTCTGTGCAATGACAAACTAATTCACAACTTGCAAGAGTAGTGCTGACTCTGTTAGCTGAAATGGAAAGAGATAAATTGGCCTTTCACAGCAGCATACTCTCCATCTAATTCTCCTCTCACTTACACCAGTGTAATCAGGAACAAGTCTGGTGCAGGCAGTGGAATAGTTCCATATTTACAGCAGCTCAATGGCAACCAGAATTTGGCCGTCTGCATTTAACAGAGGCAAGACAAGAAGGATTCTATTTTCATAACATGCAATACATTTTTTGAAATGGAGGACCTACTCATGCTGCCTTTCAAGTCAATGGGAGCTAGGCCCAGATAGAATAGGCTTTCACTTCCAAAGAAGCTTACATAAAATTGTATTACTGGTTTATCAGAGATAGTCTTAATATGACAAATGTTTATTATAATTTGCATATGAAAAAGCTTTGTGGTGAATAGAACGAACGTTAGCCAGAAAACCTGTAGCTTAGGAAAAACGGGCATAACAAACCTTAAAATATGATTCTTAGAAACCACAGATACAATAAGTTCACATAACACAAAACAACCAAGTACAAAACAAACACCACAAATTTCCCTCTTCCACCACTCCTCTCCTCTCCTCAAGCTTAGGAGAATAGATGGAGTTTGTAGCATGCTGACAGGTTAACAGATTGAGCTATTTCAGAGAGCAAGTTCCAAAGTCATGTGGCGCTAGAGGAAACACCCTGAGCATCTTTACTTACTACAGCGGTGGCAGTATTGCATAGAGAGAGAGGTGATCTGTAGAGGCTCCTCCTAAGCCATTCAGGACTTCCTAGGTCAAAACCAATACCTTCAGCTTTTATAGGGGAGGGAATCAATGCAACTGATGAGAATCAGTATATCATACTGCTGGCAAGATACACCACAAAGCTAGCAGGATGCTGCCAAACTGTGTACCAGCTTTAGTTTGTTGGTGGAGTTAATGTATGGCACAATATAGAGACAAATTGAGTAATCTAATCTTAAAGTGACAATGGTAGTGTGAGACAAGGTGGGTGAGGTAATATTTTTTATTGGACCAACTTCTGTTGGTGACAGAGACAAGCTTTTGAGCTTACACAGAGCTCTTCTTCAGTTCAGGAAAAAGGCCATCATGGCCACTGCTGTTACCTGATCATGTAACAGCAGCTGGGATTGCAAATTCAGAGAGCAAAAAGTCCTTCAAAGGGACATATATAAATCCTCACTTTATTTTCTAGTTACTTCCCCCAACCCATCAACATCAGTCTTATCCAGATTAAGCCTGAACCGGTTAGTCGTCATTACTACCCCAGATGTCAGGCCAACACTGGGTCAAGGCCACTGCCAATGCTGGCTGGATTAGATAAGAAAGATACAGAACTGGGTATCATCAGCCTACTGAAACCACTGCAACCCCTATCTCCTTATTAATGATCTGAAAGGCCATGTCCAAGCTTACAGTGGCACAGCTGCATCGGGACAGGGACAGAGGGGGGACAGAGCTCTCCTGTCAACATAATAAAACCAGCTCAATGAGTGGCAGAAGCTATAGTTGTGTCGCTCAGGGTTGGGGATTTTTTACACCCCTGAGCCACAAAAGTTTTGCCCACATAAATGCTAGTATAGAGTGAATAAAGAGCAAGATAATGAAATTTTTTCATGGTTTTAAGCTGAGAGGGGCAGCATATACTAACAAAGACAGAGAAATCATACTAAAAGCAGCAAGGGAAGTGGAAAGGAGAAAGAAAAGATTAATCTTGGAAAGATACACAATAATACAAATAATCCAGATGAACGGTGTCCACAGTGCTGGAAAAAATCACAAAGAAATAATGCTGAGAGAGAACTAGAGGTGATCATAGTCAACAAATTAAATATTATCAATTTGAAATATGAAATGACAGCACAAAAGGTAATGAAGTTTGGGCTGCAGAAAGAAAGGTATCACATCACAGGACAAAGGGCTGACAGTTTCTCTCTGTAAAGATGTGGTGTGCCTATATGAACCTGAAATATGGCATTCAGTTTTACACACCTCATTAGCAAAAATATTGACAAATTGGAGGGAATTCAGAGAAGAGCAACAGAAATGATTTTGAGCCTGAAGGACTGTCTTACAAGGAAAGATTAAACAAGTCAAATAAGAATAGCTTTACCATGAGGTGACTAACTGGGAGATGTAACAATCGTTTATATGTCTGAAGGGTGTAAACACCAGGAAGAGAGAGTAATTATTTAGTATTGTACAATGGAATATAATTCTGAGGTTGAAGTTAAGAGGAGGAAAATTAGTCAGGATATCATGAAGGTCTTCTCAATTAGTGTAACTATTCAGGCTTCCAGTCAGGTTCTTATATGCCCCCATTACTTGGTATCTGACTGCATGTAATCTCTGGAATAATCCCCTAAAGTAAACAGCAGACATCACCACATGTTTAGTTATTTAAAACTATTACTAGACTGAAACTATACTATAAATACTAGAAAATAGCATTGCTATTGCAAAGGGGTGGGCTAGATGACCTAAGGTATTAAAGGCTTTAAAGACAGTTCCAGATCGTTCCACCTTACAAAGAGACATCTCTGTGAACAGGGCAAAGCCAGATCATTTATAGGTGGGTTTTCCAATTTGATTTTCTTTTTGAACCCTATCCTATACCCAGTATCTCCCACAAGAATCACCCTGAAAATAGTTCGGTGGTGACACTGCATTACTGCTCACTGTATATTTAGGAGTCTAAAAAAGTGCCTCTCCTTTCTCTTTCAGCATGAATACATCAAAACATGAAAAAGAGTCAATACAAAATAAACAAATAAAAAAAGATGAAATATTCTCACCCAGGATAGCCCTCCATTGTCCAGATGAATAAATGAAAAGCACCCCTCCTTCAACCCTATTTATACTCTCTATGCATCCCATTCTTGAAAACCCAGCTACATGCATAAGGCATGCTCTGAATAATCACACCCAGATCCTATACAGCACCTTTCAACAGTAGATCACAAAGCAATTGGCAAAAAAACCCAACCCCCCCCCCCAAAAAAAAACCTTAGAAGTAACTTTATCCCCATTTTATAGATGGGGAAATGGAGGCTTCCCCAAGGTAATCCAGAAGGCTAGAAGCAGCACTAGGAATAGAAACCAGGTCTCTACAGTCCCAGTCTAGAGCTCTGTCCACTAGGTCACTATATGAGCTTTTGCTGGATCTAGGGAGATGCAACTTTCTGAGTCAAATGCCCTTCATCAGGGATGCCCTGCCAATTAAAACAGGGAACTTGTAGCTCAAACACTCCCACTGATTTCAAATGCCCTAAGAGCAAATGAGAAGAGGATGGGGACTCTCACTGCACAGGATAGGTCCTGTTGACCTCACTACTGTAGGGGTATCATAGAATCTGCGCCTTAGGGCTCTGAAGGTAAAACCAACATCCTGAGGGAGGAATCTCTTGTTGCAGTTCCGCGAGGAAAGAGAAAAAACCCTGACAATGAATTATGACAATAGGAAAAAAACCTAAAGGAGTTAACTTGTTTGGGCCTAGCTGCTCAAATATGAGCATATACATTATTAACAGATGCAGAGGCTGAGCAAATGTTAGACCCCAGGGAGAAGGTAAATACTGTTCAGTTATATGCAAACAAGGCATTAATAATGAGCTCTGAAGACTACAAGCCTGCTGTTTAGTTCAATGTTAATAGTTTTGTCAGTGAAAGAAACAGTATATCCCATCAAATTGCGAAGAACTTTCCAGAACCCCAGCACCCTCCAAATATGGTTCTTTTGTGTATTCATTGATTGTGTGCTCAGAAAAGTAGCCAGAATGAAATATTTTCTTTTATCTGAAAGGATACTGTAAAGCAATCAGTTAAAAAATGTTATGTCATCACCTCAGTGATACCAATGCCCACTGATGATCTACTCAGCAAGCAGGAAAGTCTGTCCCCATTGCACAGCCCAAGTAACCCAGCTGCGTGCTGAAGAGATTGTGGCCAGCTGTGGAGTGGCCAGTTCTTCAGTTTCCGGGCTACAGTAGCCCCTTGAGACTGGTGTACTGTCTCCATGATGTGGAGAAGCAGAATGGTCAGTGGACCTACATAGTTGTGAATTTCACCAGCACTGTCCATCCCTGCCCTTGGCACCCACTCCATAGTTGCATGTAGGGAGCCACTGTGGAGATCTCCCTTCCCCATACATAACCCAAATCTATCCTTTGTGGTGAAGTCTGGAACTTCCATACCCACAGCTGGAAGAGCAAGATTTGTTCCTCGTATATTAGTGATTCATGACATTCTGTACTTCTTTTTTTATTGTTCAGTAAGGGAGAGGAATGGATGCTGCTTACTAACCTTCTGCTTTGATGACCATAATCCTTTGCTCCAGGTCAATTAAGGGGTGTACCAGACACAGTCTAGGTTCCTGCTTCTGACTGATGCAAACGCCATTCTGATTCACAACCATCCAGCTTCGGTCATAGAGCAATCCTTGGTTTCCTACAGGCCACTCAGAAACCTGGCATAGCAACAGAAAAAAAAATACAATCGGAAAGAAAACTCAACATCAATTATTTAATAAAGATCTCTAGCTGCAGTAGTGGAAAGGCACTGCACAAAAAGGAAAGGGAAAAGAAACTTTCCCTTCATGAAATCCTTTGAAACTGAAATAGGAAAACTCATGTATATGTCAGTGTCAGCCTTGTTAACAGAAGCTTTAATTATCAAATCAAAGACAAATATCTCTGTAAGAAGGTGCCAGATCTAAATTGAGTTTTATTGCTATTGTTTGTTACCTGTCACCATGCTTTTAGTCACCACAATTAACAAGTGGGGCTGTGAGAAGATAGTGAACATCATTCGTGAAATTTGTTGGAAAATGTTCTCAGCTTTAATCCGGGCCACTTTAGGATTCTCGCAATTCCACTTTTCATATCCAAATATAGGACATTTAACAAAATGTGTCTGAATGCAAAAATCAATTTTTTTAAAAAAGAACAATTTGAAATTCAACATATTGAAAATTTCAAGATTTTTTGCTCAAATGAAACCCTGAGTTTTTCTGTGAAACTGAAACTACTTTATGAAATCCAAAGTAAAATGAGAGAACCTCAGTTTAAGGATTTCCATTTAGTTGAAAGCTGGGCTTTTAAACATATTGCCTCAGATCATGTGTAGTCTCCAGTAGCAGTAAAATATTTAGAGAGTTAACCATGACTAAGCTTTGTTGTATTTTCAGATACGTTAGTTGAGATACTCCCTGAACAGTCCATGTGATTATTGGGGAGCTAACTGGCAAGGTACCTCTAGCAAGTAAATATTGAGGGCCAAATTCTGCTCTCAGATACATGTATACACTTCCTATTGTGCATCTACTGGAGGGCAAAATTCAGCCTCGAGTGACTGATAATGTCAGCATAATTTACAGTTTTTTTTAAATCAAGTTTCTGATAGAACATCGTTAGCATCTCCACAACTGAAAACAAACTTTAAAACTTCTAAAAGGCTTTATTTTCCCCCTTGCTGATATTTATAAGGGCCTTTGCAACCTCTCAGTCAGACCTTTCAGCAGCAGCCATTTAAAATTCCTGGCCAGAGTGCTGTAAAATGCATCAAGTGCACAAACAAACAAATATTTTTCTACTTCCTTTTAAAAATTAGAATAATTTTATGTGCTCCTTGTTACCTATACTGTAGATATAGAATTTTCAGCCAGAAATCTGATATTCAAGCTGGCGAATAAAGGCAACACGACTTATGAACATACTTAGAACTAAACATAAAGTCTTAAGTGCCTTCCTCAATCAGGGCCTTAAATAATGCACTATATAGTGATAAGAAAAGGAGTACTTGTGGCACCTTAGAGACTAACCAATTTATTTGAGCATGAGCTTTCGTGAGCTACAGCTCACTTCATCAGATGTATACCGTGGAAACTGCAGCAGACTTTATATACACACAGAGAATATGAAACAATACCTCCTCCCACCCCACTGTCCTGCTGGTAATAGCTTATCTAAAGTGATCAACAGGTGGGCCATTTCCAGCACAAATCCAGGTTTTCTCACCCTCCACCCCCCCACACAAATTCACTCTCCTGCTGGTGATAGCCCATCCAAAGTGACAACTCTTTACATAATCGTCGGGCTATTTCCTGCATAGATCCAGGTTTTCTCACATCCCCCCCACCCCCATACACACACAAACTCACTCTCCTGCTGGTAATAGCTCATCTAAACTGACCACTCTCCAAGTTTAAATCCAAGTTAAACCAGAACATCTGGGGGGGGGTAGGGGGGGGGAAAAAACAAGAGGAAACAGGCTACCTTGCATAATGACTTAGCCACTCCCAGTCTCTATTTAAGCCTAAATTAATAGTATCCAATTTGCAAATGAATTCCAATTCAGCAGTTTCTCGCTGGAGTCTGGATTTGAAGTTTTTTTGTTTTAAGATAGCGACCTTCATGTCTGTGATTGCGTGACCAGAGAGATTGAAGTGTTCTCCGACTGGTTTATGAATGTTATAATTCTTGACAGCTGATTTGTGTCCATTTATTCTTTTACGTAGAGACTGTCCAGTTTGACCAATGTACATGGCAGAGGGGCATTGCTGGCACATGATGGCATATATCACATTGGTGGATGTGCAGGTGAACGAGCCTCTGATAGTGTGGCTGATGTTATTAGGCCCTGTGATGGTGTCCCCTGAATAGATATGTGGGCACAATTGGCAACGGGCTTTGTTGCAAGGATAAGTTCCTGGGTTAGTGGGTTCTGTTGTGTGGTATGTGGTTGTTGGTGAGTATTTGCTTCAGGTTGCGGGGCTGTCTGTAGGCAAGGACTGGCCTGTCTCCCAAGACTTGTGAGAGTGTTGGGTCATCCTTTAGGATAGGTTGTAGATCCTTAATAATGCGTTGGAGGGGTTTTAGTTGGGGGCTGAAGGTGACCGCTAGTGGCGTTCTGTTATTTTCTTTGTTAGGCCTGTCCTGTAGTAGGTAACTTCTGGGAACTCTTCTGGCTCTATCAATCTGTTTCTTTACTTCTGCAGGTGGGTATTGTAGTTGTAAGAAAGCTTGACAGAGATCTTGTAGGTGTTTGTCTCTGTCTGAGGGGTTGGAGCAAATGCGGTTGTATCGCAGAGCTTGGCTGTAGACGATGGATCGTGTGGTATGGTCAGGGTGAAAGCTGGAGGCATGCAGGTAGGAATAGCGGTCAGTAGGTTTCCGGTATAGGGTGGTGTTTATGTGGCCATTGTTTATTAGAACTGTAGTGTCCAGGAAGTGGATCTCTTGTGTGGACTGGACCAGGCTGAGGTTGGTGGTGGGATGGAAATTGTTGAAATCATGGTGGAATTCCTCAAGGGCTTCTTTTCCATGGGTCCAGATGATGAAGATGTCATCAATATAGCGCAAGTAGAGTAGGGGCTTTAGGGGACAGACTAACATGGCTGTTCCTCTGAAACCTGTCAGTATATAGTGATAGGCACTATTCAGAAAAAAATCAGATAAATGATAGATAGATAGATAGATAGATAGATAGATAGATAGATAGCAACAATTTACTTTGCCTGTTGTAGATTCAGGATGATTATAGGAACCTCCATGATCCAACTTTGAGATGCTGCACCCGTGACTGCATGTCCACAACACACTTCTCCCTCTTCCCCAGGATATTGATCACTATTGCATAGCTAACCTAAGGTGCCCAGTAATAAGGCCCCTCCACTTATGTCACTGACATTTGCCAAGTGCTTCCTTTTCCCTCTACATCAGAACTCCTATTATCTTTATACTACCAGGATCCCAGATAATAAAGTTGCAATAATATAAGCTAATTGCATGCCCCACCTCTTGGGCAGAGCATCAGTAAATGTTAACTTTTCAGCATATGATGTCTGGAGATGCTCAGGTGAATATGAAACGCCTCCATTCACCTATGTATCTAGGCCTGAAACTCAGGAGGATCAGAGCTTGACAATCCATTCCTTGATTGCCCGTTGCAAGAAGGGCAGGAGACCAACAGAAAGACCAAATTCTTCCTATTTCCCACACTGGCTAATCTTCTTCTCCACCAGTCATGAGCCAGACCATTGCATAATAAAGTCAATTCACGTTATTGGTCCACCGATTGGCCTACCTGCTTTTAGCTAAAAAGAGTTCTGTGCAAATCAAACAAAATTTAGCCAGAAAAGTAAGCAGAGCACAGTGCTTAGTGAGGCTTCAATTCAGATTTTCCATTAGAAACCCCTGTTTTCATCTTTTTAGAATTCTTTTTTAAAATGCTTTTTGACTTGATTTTTTTTTCTAATTACAATAGAGTGGGTATTACAGTTTGGAACATATGAAGAGAATTAACTGAGCAAGTTTTAAATTATACAAGTGTAAGAAAAGTTCACGTTCACACACCTGTATATATTGTTGTCCACTGATAACTAAAAGTATATGTTGTATTTTCAATGAAAACTATTTATATAGTCTTGGGTGATACCATGTAATTTTTATAGTTTAGAATCTGTGGTAAGAATAATAAAGTTATTAATGTTTAAAGTCTTAACCTTTTTTCATTGAGCATGGTGCATTATGTAACAATACAAAATTAATGGACATGAAATGTTCATGTTTAAAAATGCATACTTTAAACAATCTTGTGTATATTAAAAGAAGGTGGGTGAGGGTGAGAATTTCTTCATCTCTGGTTTGATTGCCCCCCCCCCCACTTGCCTGAAATAAAAACTGAAAGGACACGAAAGTAGAGCTTCCTCCCCAAAAGTCCATAAAACGTTCTCTTCCATCTGGGTCCTCTGCTTTCTGTGCATTTGGTAACACATGCATGGAGCAGGACTGGGCAGTCGACAAATTCTCCTTGTCAAACACATTTTATAAGATATATGGAGTAGAAACTAACTATCCCCCTGTTAGTTCCAGATCCCCACCTTAATTTTCATCCCCTGCAGTCTCATTTTCTCTTGGCATCCCGTGCCTTATGTGCTAGGGCAGCTAGACACAGGAGGAGTGAAGTTTTAGAGTTAGTGGGTTATATTAACAGACTTTTCACTAGAGAGGAGGTCAAACAGCGATTTTTAATTAGTCATGAGATGGGGTATGGAGGTACCTGCTGCATCTTGCAGTTCTACTCCTAGTCATTGAAAAAAGGCCAAGTAATACACATATTCACCAACTTTATCTTTTGATGACCCAATCCTGCACCCAGTGTCAATGGCAGTTTTGCCAAAGCACAAACAGTTTAACAGAACTTTCTTCTGCACATGCACAGTCTGGCATTTCTTTCTTTCTTTCTGAAATGCAACAGAACATGTTCTCGCATTCAGACCTATATACTCTCCATGCCAAGTTTTCAATCTTAAAAGCATGGGATTCAAGCCTGCACTGAAGTAACAAACCTGATCTTGATCTCCTGTATGGAGGCAAAAGGCAAGAATGCACTTACTGCAGTATAAAATTTAAAGCCCTAATAGTTTAGTCCATTTAGAGATGTTCCACCACCATCAAAAAGTAGAAT